CTTGTTCTTTGCCAATTCCTTCAATTAACCTTGAACTTCTTCCTTCAGGATCATTTGCTCTTGATCATATGCTACCTCTTGAAATGGTTGAACATGAACCATTCCTTTTTGGTACAGTAACTCTGTATATTCCTCCCAACTTCAGTATTTTCCCAGAGAATATTACAATATTTTAAGTGAAGGTTTAAAGTTTTCTTCATTTCTTTTAGCTTGAGAAATGCTGAGCATGTTATTTCTTTTTGGTTTTCTAAGTCGAGGTCTTTGTATATTTCATGATAAGATTTGACTTTGTCTTTTCAAGATTACCTTTGAAATTTTCTGCTCAGATATCTTACTTCCTTATTTTTTCCATTTGTTTTAGCTTCTCTGCTAGAGAGCAAATTTCAGAGTTTCTCCTGATATCCATTTTTGTATTTTTCTTTTTAATGAACTTTTGTTTTCTTCCTGTATGATATTCTGCATGTCATTCTATAGCTCTTTTGGTCTTCTGTCATTAGTATCTAATGCATCAAATCTTTTCTTAAGATGGTTGCTAAATTCAGTTTGGATATTTTCAAGGTCATATTTTGGTTCTGGTGAACTTGCTTTGGCTGATGATATTGAGCTTTTCCAACAACTCTTCCCACAGATGTAGTCAATTTAATTTCTGGGCATTTCATTTGGTTAGCTCGTTTTATAAAGAAGGTACTTGCAATGAATGAATGACTCATTGGTCTTGCTAGATACTATCAAAGAGTCTTCGGCATAATTTCTATCAACAAAACCATATTGTCCAATTTGTTTCCAACTTTCACATTCCAATAACCAGTGATTATTAATACACTATGCTTGTATGTTTGAACAATTCCAGACTGAAGAAGTTGGTAGAATTCTTCAATTTCCTCATCACTGGTTTTAGTGGTGGATACATAAATATGAAAAATTGTGGTATTAACTGGTCTTTCTTGTTGTTAAGTGCCATTGAATCAGTTCCAACTCATAGTGATCCTGTATCAGTTGGTGAGTTTGAATCTCTATCCTCGGGATTTAAATCCATCTTACAGTCCAATATGTATCTTAAAGCACCACACTAGGACTCTTGCTTGTAGGTGTATGGATATTATACTATCACAGACAATGTTGTAACTCAAGATAGATCTTTAAATGTTTTTTGACTATGAATGCAACACCATTCCTCAAGAATTTGTGGTTCCTGGCATAATAAACCATATGATTGTTAGGTTCAAAATGGCCAATATCAGTCCAGTTTAACTCACTAATGCTTAAGATATCAAACTTTATACATTCCATTTCATTTTGACAACTTCCAGTTTTTCTAAATTCACACTTTGTACATTTTTGTTTTGATATTTAATGGATATTTTAAGCTATTTCTCCTCATTTTGTGTTGTTTCCCATCAGCAAATGAAGGTCACCAAAGCTTATTCCATTTGCTTCATCATGGTCAGTTGGAGACAGCTCTTTCCCAGGTGTATTTTGAGTGCCTTCCAATCTGAGAGGCTCATCTTCTGGCACTATATCTGACAATGTTCCCTTGCTATTCCTAAGATTTTTAGTGTCTCAACATCCAGAGTTAGTCTGCCTCTCCTTCTTCCTAGTCTGTCGTAGTCTGGAAGCACAGATGAAACCTGTCCACCATGGGTAATTAATTCTGCTAGTATTTAAAATACTGGTGTCTTAGGTTCCAATATCATGGTAATAGGGAAACCACTACAGTATGACAAACTTTTAATTGCCTCTTTAATTGCATCTCAAATACGGTCACATTTGAGGATCAAGCTAGACATGAGTTTTGTGGGGACACAATTCAGTCCTCTACAGATTACTTCTACCCCTGCATTTTGAGTGCATGTAAAACCTAGGAATAGGTTGCATTTCTCAACTTCCTGACTTTTTACAGATTCCTGGATACCATTCCAACTTTCCACATTTGAATCTCACAGGGTGGAAACCATGTCTGAAGTTTTAAAAACACTCAGCTGATTCTTATGAACACTAAAGTTTAAGAACCACTGGCTATAATTTCTGTATTGCAATCTGTTTTCCATTAGACAAAGGTTCTATAATTACTATAACATATAATAGTGGTTCCTTTTTTGAGAGATGTTTTTGTGGTGGAAAAGTTAAGTATGTAGACACAGAATGGTGTGTGGAGAAAGACTTGAGAAATAAAATTAAATATTACTTATTGGAGGGATATCTCCTATCTCTCCAGCTCCTTATGGAGTCCTGGTGTGGTGCTGTGGGTTAAGCACTTGACAGCTAACTGTAGGACAGTGGTTCAAACACATGAACTACTCCTTGGAACTATGCAGGGTCACTATGAGTTGGAATCAGTTCAACAGTATTTAACAATAACAACTACATGCTACTTACTTATAGATGCTGAATAAATAAAAATATGAAAAGGGTTATTTTCCATGCTGGATAGTAATAATTTGGGGACTCATTAATGTGTCAGATTAACTTTGCTATAGATTGCATTTCAGTAGAACAGTAGCTGGAAGTATTTATATGTATTCTTCACATTTTGTGATTTGTGTATTAGTTATCTACTTGACATTTTAAAATGAGAAGAAATGTTGATTATTATATTCTGTATTTACTATAAGTGGTTTCATATCAGTAATTATATTTATTAGTTCTTACATGGAATATACTACTTAGAAAAGAGATAAAAATTTGGGAATCTAGCTACTCTTTCTCTGAATTCCCTAATCTTAACATTGATTTAAATCTTCAGTAAATACTTTTCTCAACTTCCAAATAATTATTTCTGAATAAAGCATAGAATGCATTTGGAGATACTACTAACATTTTTCTAATTAAATATATTCTAAAATACAATCCAAATAATGGATTTTTCTCCCATGGACAAACTTAATAGTTATTATTTAATGGAATCTTGCTTAGTCACATAACTAATTATAAACCTTATCAGCAATATTGTTCTCACTAGAATCTAATGTTTAAACTCTTGAGAACACAAGCACTTAACTGTGACTAGTTTTTAGAAGATTTAAGTAGGCACTTTAAAGTCTATATATATGACAAAGTAACAATACAACCAATTATTAAAATTCACTGCTTTGGCATAAAGGACACCTTTAATAAATGGGAGCAATTCTATTGCTATAAAATACTTGGATGCAGGATAATGCACTGGACTGCAAGGTCAGTTTGATTCACAAGGTCAGCGGTTCAAACCCACCAGCTGCTCTAAGGAAACCCATGACAGGGTCATATGAGTTGGAACTGACTCGACGGCACTTAACAACAAAGGTGGTTGTCTACTCGGTGCTTGGTTTTCAGATGACTACTACTTGTCCAAACAAAATCCTATGAGTACTAAAACAAAGTGAGGAATGAATAGATGAAAAGGAAGACTGATAGAGTTGGAAATAACTTTATGTCCTTTATATGTTTATTTTAACATTTGCGTTTAACATTTTAAAAGCCATAGCAAGCTAGACATTTGCAACTGATAAGGACTGAATCAATAGCCTATACTGCACTGTCATTGATGTTACTCTTTATGGTGGATATGGCTGAAAATTGTTTCAATCCTGGTTGTTCACATTTCACCAAGAAACCGTGAAATTTCTTGGCATGAAGTTGTTACATGGCCAATAGCACACTTATAAATTATAGTGATTTAATTTAATCTGTCCTGGTTGGTCTGAACTGTAAAGTCTGTGGTTCAAACCCACCAGCCATCCTTGGAAACCCTGTATAAGGTCACTATGAGTCAGAAATGACTCAATGACACTTAGCAATGACATAAAACATACACTATCTTTACCAATACATTGTTGAAGACCAACATTGTATATGGAAAATCATTCAAGTTCGTTGTACATGAAAAACTAATCAAGTTTATACATTAGATTGTATCATCATAATCCATTTCACTTTTTACCTTAACTCCATGTGAATTCAATGACCCCTTAAATGTGAGGCTACTCTGGAATTCCTACCACCACTAATACAGCTGCCATAGTTCTCTAAAGAAACGCTGGGCCCAGAGCACAATCCGCACTGTGGCATGTGAGTTAAATGCATAGTTCTCAAACCTGACCACGTATTAACATAAACTTAGTGTTTTAATTTGAAAAATTACTTTTAAAGCATTCCCATGATTTATATTAAAGCTGAGTAGGGCAAAGAAATGCTGAACAGGTATCTTGCATTATTTAAAAACACTCCAGGGAGCAGGTATCTTGCATTATTTAAAAACACTCCAGCTTATATTAATGTACAGCCAGAGTTAAGAATCACAATTTAGAATAAGAAAACTGATTATTTCAGAAAAGTGATATAAAACACTTTTTGTTGTTAGGTGTTCTTGAGTAGGTTGTAACTCATTGTTGTAAAAATATATATTACACATTTGTCATTGCAACATTTAGGACAATTGTTTTCAAGTTCATCTGTAATACAATGTATCAGGAATTCATTTTTCATTATGTTGTGGTGGTGGCTATTGTTATTATGTTCAGTGGAGTTGGTTCCATTTCATGGCAACCCTGTATAGAGACTTCAAGGCTATAATTCTTTACTGGAGCAGAAAGCCTCATTTTTCTCCCACAGAGAGGTTGGGTGGGCTCCAACTACTGACCTTCCAGTTCACAGTCCAGTGCTTAACATACAGAACCACCGCACTCCCCATTTCTCATTATGAGTGATACTCTATTGTATGTATGTACCACCTTTTGTTTATACATTTATCCATTAATGGACATTTTTGTTGTTTTTTCTTTTAATTATACTTATTTATATATTTTTTGTTATTTTTATTTTATATCTATTTATTTTATTTTTATATTATATTTATTTATGTGAATACTGGTGCAATGAACATTGCTGTAAGGATTATTTTTCAAGTATAAGTGAGTGAGAAATTAACAAAATGTGTCCTGCAATCTGTATCTCAAAGATTTCCAGAAACTCCCTAATTTGGAGGGTGAATATTTCTTATACTTTTTTGTTATAATCTGCAGGAGAAATTTAGAGCCCTCTAAGTGGAAGGCAGTACTAGGCCTGCACATGACATCAAACCTGACTTCTCCTCATATAGTAACTCGGCTGATAGATCAAATTGTCATAAATCCACACTACAATAAAAGAAGAAAAGACAATGACATTGTCATGATGCACCTCGAATTTAAAGTGAATTACACAGGTAAAAGGGATCATCTTTAGTTGCCTAATTTTTTAAAAATTAATTTTAAGTCATATTTGAAATAAAATCAGTATGAATTCAATAATGATTATCTTTAAAAGTTGGATAATTACTTATAAAAATAATTTAGTTTTAATGATTTAAATGAAATTTGGAGATGCAGAGAAACATATTCAATTAACTTCATCTAGGTGTTTAAATCTAACTTTCTATAAATTGATTAGCAGAATAAAACTCACAGAACTCTCTACAACAGTAAACTTAAAGGAACAGAACAGAGAAAATATGTCACGTTATTATGCACACTCACTCTACTTATGTGTTGAAGAATTACAGTCCATCTGCTACCAAGGCTAGAGTCAGACATATACTGGCAGTAGAGCATATGTGCTAAGAGGAAAGTAAGTAGGAATTAAGTTATCCATGGAATGAAATATTTAAAGGAGACTCAATAATATTAATAGAGTAGTGGATAGAAGACTTCTTCCAAATGCTTGGATAATTTGCACAAAATTACTAGAGGGAGTGAACATTAACCTGAAAGGTTCTCTTCAACCCCAGATTTTACTCTGACCCTTTCTTAATTATAATTAGAAGAAAGTGCTCCAATCTTCATGCTCATAAGTATCACAGCACTTGTCAAAGGCAGATTATTACAATGGTTCGTTGTCTAGACTTGTCCTTCAGGATGAGCACTATATTGTATTTCTCTGTGTGTCTGCCTTGGGTCAGCCACATGAGGAGCACTTAAAACAAATATCAGGTGGTTTGTAAATTGTTGCCAAAGGGCTTCAAATGTCATTGACCAATTGTAATGCTTCCAGAAGTGTACTGTAAAACTATTACATTAAAGTTTTTCATTGTAGAGATCATTGGGAAAAAATCAATGAGTCTCAGTACATTTGCCAAAGTTTTTCTTAATAGACCCTGAAAAATAGTCTTACCAAGATATTCACAAAACTAGCACTATTTTTTGGTAAAAATTATGGTTATTTAAGTTTCTATTAATTCTAGCGATAAGACAGTGTTTACACTATAAAAGATAAAAATAAAAAGACTAAATAAACCCAAAAACAAACAGTTGTTGCAAATGTAATTTAACCTCATGGCGACTCCATGAGTGTCACATGTAGAGCTGTGCTCCATATTGTTTTCAATGGCTGTGATCTCTCAGAAGTAGATCACCAGGACTGCTTTTGAGGCACTCTGAGTGGGCCTGACCCACATACCTTTCAGTTACTATCACTGTATCTGAACTGAGCTGAGTGTTTAACTGTTTGTACCACACAAGGAGTCCTAGGGAACTAACTACTAGTGTTATTGAATGGACTCCAATGAATAGAATCCTATAGGATAGATTAGAACTGCCCCATATTGCTTCCAAGGCTGTAACCTTCACAGAGGTGGATTGCCACATCTTTCTTTCATGATGCAACTGGTGGGTTGGAACTAATGACCTTATGTTTAGCAGTTGAGTTCCTTAACCACCGCACCACCAGGACTTCAAGCAACTAAATTATGGTGGTTGTGTTATGTCACTGAGTTGGTTCTGATTCATAGCGACTCTTATAGGGTTTCTGAGGTTGTATATCTTTATGGGAGCAGAATCTCGTTTTTCTCCCTTGGAGTGACTGGTAGATTTGAACTATTGACCTTGCAGATAGAAGCCCAGCTTGTAATTCACTATGCTACCAGGGCTCTTTGAGAAACTAAATAGCTGTTGTTGAGATAGAGATCCCTAAAGAGACCACAAGTGGTACCTAATCCTTTGTCAAGGAAGTGTTTTGAAATGATGCCTACAATATTGATGTATAAAACATGTTGCAATAAAATACAGAATTGGGGGGGGGAATGTTTAAAATGTTTGATTTTTAAAACTTATTAGAAACACATGTACGTCTGTTTGTGGGGTTTTTTGTTTGCCTGTTTGTTTTACTTTGCTTTGTGTTTCAGATTATATTCAACCTATATGTTTACCTGAAAAAAACCAAGTTTTTCCTCCAGGAAGGAAATGTTATATTGCTGGCTGGGGGAGACTTGTACATCAAGGTAAATAATTAAACTAAAAAACAAACAAACAAAAAAACCAGAAATGCTTAGTAGCAAAAAGTAAGCTATTGCTATAGTATTTTATTATTATAGTTTTATTTTTCCCCATAGAATGTATTAGGAGTCCCTGGGTGGTGAAAATCGCTAAGCACTCCTTACTAAATGAAAGGTTGTAGTTCCAACATATCCAGACATGTCTCAGAAGAAAAGACTTCTGCTTCCTTAAGGTGACTGCCTTGGAAACCTTATGGAGCACAATTCTGCCCTGCTACACATGGGGTTGCCATGACAGAGTTAACTGGACTTCTTATTTGCACCTGATAACTAGTTATAGGGACTTTTGGACTTTGAACCTCAAGATCAGATGTTCAAACCCACCAACTGCTCCTTAGAAACCCTACATAGAGTTGCTATGAGTTGGAACCAATTTGATAGCACTTAAAAATAACAACAAGTTATAGAGTGTATTCTAAAATTTTAATCCTTATTGGATGGGAATCCAAAGGTCCCCCAAATTTAAGATCTAATTTTAGTATTACACCCACTCCTCATTTATCCAAAAGACCAGGTCATTATGTAAGAATCAGTATTTTGCAAAAATGGAGAATGCCCACATCAGATCACAACATGGACTATTACTATATCGTTACATAACTACCAAGCTACTGAGATCATGGTCCTGCCAAGCTGACACATAATCTTAATCATCACACCATGTGTTACTTTTGTATATACTTTGTTAATGTATATATGATAGATGGATAGTAGAATTTTTACTATTGTTGTAAATGAAAAATATCCAGTAAGTGAGCAGTAGGTGTTTCAAACAATCTTAAAAATAAAAATTAGATCTATTAAATGAGTATAGGTAAAGGCTAGAAACACTTATTTTTATAAAGTAACAAAGTTTCATGACAAGTCAAATTATTGCCTGTTACATTTACAAAAGCTTTACTTATTTATAAGACTTATAAACCTTTATTTATAATGCAAATATCTCATACATTTTCTAAAATATGAAGGGAATTCCTCTTAACGTCAACACACATGATTCTGCTTATTCAGGAAGAATCAAACAAGGCCAAAATTTTACATTTGGCACAATAAATTGGCATACCATTGACCCAGTAGCAATAATTAATAACAGTTTCCAAAGAGGGAATCACACAAATAAATAAATGAAAGAAAGAAAAAGAAAGCAGTTGCCTTCACATTAATTCCAATTTTGACCTGTTTGTGAACCCCTGAGGTACTTGGCATAACTAAAGTGTCTGCTACAGAACCAAATTAAACTACATTTTGACTCCAACTGCAGCTTGTCCTAAAACCTCTACTTCTGTTCTGAAAAGACATTTTAATTTCTTACAAAAGTTTAACTAATTGTAATCCCAAAGGAGAAATGTTCATCATTTTAGCTTGTGTAAGAAATTGTTTGTTAAAAGTTGCTTATGGAGAGTGTTTGCTACAAACTAAGACGAATTCCTTGGTCAACATGTTCGGGGAAATTAGGAAAGAGAAATGATGTTAAGAAAGACTGCAGTTTAGCAAGCAGTTGTAACTTTTTGTCATGTATGCCCTTGTGCCTGTGAGCCTATAGCCCTTTGTTTATTCCATCTAACAAAAACCTTGCTGTCTTTTTTGACATTTGGAACACTCTGCTTCCCTGCTAGAATGTCTCCTGATCTGCAAATCTCTCTACCATTCAATAAAAGTCTTTATTTCACTTTTAACAAAGTGTAAGTCTAATGAATGCTGTACTGACAGAACTTTTGGAAGCGAAATATTAGAAAATCTTTCTGCTCAAGCACCTCTGGCTGGGTTCAAACTAGGGATGACTATCCAGTAAGCAAGGCAAGCATGGGCCTACTTATGCTTGCTTATTAATCTCAAGTGAACATTTTCACATAGTGGTATAAAACATGTGAAACTGTACATTACAGATTAAATAGTAAGCCCAAGTAAGCCTATGATTTGTTGTGAGGTTGGACAAGAAACAGATGCCAGCTGTCATTAGAAACAGAACTCTTTGATGTAATGAAAAAATGTGAAATTGTTTGTTACAGATTAGTAAATAAGCACAAAGAGACCAGAGCTCATCTTGTTTATTGGGTAATCTGACTCTGGTTCAAATTGCCAACCTGTCAGCTAGCAACCAAGCACTTAACTATTTGTACCACCCAAGAACTCCAAAGAAAGCATACATACATATTAAAAGAATCAAAACAAAACAACTCTAGATTAAAAAATAAAAAAACAAAAAACAAATTCCAGTACTACTCATACTGCAAATATAATATTAAAAAAACAAAACAAAACAACGCTAGATTAAACAAAAAAAAAAAACAAAAACAAATTCCAGTACTACTTATGTTGTTGTCAGATGCCATCGAGTCGGAACCGACTCATAGCGACCCCATGCACAGCAGAACGAAACAATGTCCGATCCTGGGCCAACCTCACTACCGCTGCCACACTTGACGCCATCAATGATGCCACCTGGCTGATCCATCTCGTTGGGGGTCTTCTTCTTTTTCTCTGACCCTCCGTCCTACCCAGCATGACATCCTTCTCCAGTGACTGTTCTTTCCGGACAATGTGTCCAAAGTATGAGAGACAAAGCCTAGCCATCTTGGCCTCCAAGGAGCACTCTGGTTGCACTTCTTCCAAAACAGATCTATTGGTTCTTTTGGCAGTCCATGGCACTTTCAGTATTCTCCTCCAACAACACAACTCAAAGGCATCAATTCTTCTACGATCTTCCTTATTTACTGTCCAGCTTTCACATCCATATGAGGTTATTGAAAATACCATGGCTTGGGTCAGGCGCACCTTAGTCCTCAAGCTGACATCTCTGCTCTTCAGTACTTTAAAAAGTTCCTGTGAATCAGATTTGCCCAATGCAATACATCATCTGATCTCTTGACTGCTGCTTCCATGAGTGTTGATAGTTGATCCAAGAAGAATGAAGTCCTTGACAACTTCAATCTCTTCTCTATCGATAAGAATGCTGTTTATTGGTCCAGTGGTGAGGATTTTTGTTTTCTTTACATTGAGTTGTAATCCATACGGAAGACTGTGCTCTTTGATCTTCATTAGTAAATATTATACTGCAAATATAATCACAATGCCCATTGGCTAAGGAATTATGAATAAGCAATACTCTGACAGAGATTTGGCCATGCAGTAATAGTTTAAAAAAAAGGAAAGGCATTTTAGTATGGTAGAACGATTTGGCCTTTGGACTCACAAAAGCTAATAGACATGCTTTTGCTGTTAAGAGCTATTGAGTCAGTTTCGACTCATAGAGTTTCTGAAGCTACAGATTTTTACATGAGCCAAAAGGCTCATCTTTCTTCAATGAAGTGCTGGTTGACTTGAACCACCAGCCTTGTTAGCATCCCAGTTCTTAAACTTACTAATTGTATTTTAAATAAAATTGCAGAACACCTTGTGGCAGGATGCAGATCTCAAAAGCAAAGTACTCACACTTGAATATCCTTATTTGTTATGAGAGAAAGATTAAAATTTAAGTCAAACTCTTACCTGGTGATTGTGAAAAGGTTCTTCACAGCAATGACATTATATTTCTGTAAACACATGTTACTTGCTGTTCATGAAGAATATTGAAATAAAAGACTATATTCAGTGGAGTGGGGTGGGAATGGAGTAGGTAGGAATAGAATCAGGGTTAGGAATATAGGTAGGTCTATGACTCCTGGTGTGGCACTGTAGGATCAGCACTGGACTAGGAACCATAAGGTTGGCAGTTCAAACCCAACAGCTGCTCCTTGGAAACCCTGTACAGGGTTGCTATGAGTTGGAACTGTCTTGACAGCACTGAACAATAACAACAAGGCTAGGCCTAGGGTTTCATGAACCATGTTGTTGTTGTTGTTAAGTGCCGTCGAGTCGGTTCCGACCCATAGCGACCCTGTACAGGGTTTCCGAGGGTGTAAATCTTTACGGGAGTAGAAAGCCTCATCTTTCTCCCGTGGAGTGGCTGGTAGTTTCGAACCACTGACTTTAAGGTTCGCAGCCCGATTCGTAACCACTACACTGCCAGAGCTCCATGAACCATAGGCACTTTTATTTTCTCCACTTGAAAAGTATCATGATTTCTTAAAATTTAAATTTAGAGAGAAAAAGATTCTTAGAGTTTATATATCAGAAACTTTTTAAATACAGTTTTTATTGTGAATTATGTGGATTTACATGGAAGAACATCATCCTATCATCTTTCATTTCATTGCAATGATCACAATCCCTACCATGCATCATCAAATAACCAAAGGGTACACCCCACAGGCCTGCCCTCCTGGCTGTCAGCACACAGCCCCTCTCCCTCCCTGAGTCCAGTGTTCCCAATCACTCCATCTATCCACGTCATCATCTCTGTCCCCATCCCTGGCATCACTGCCTCTCAGGGTAGGGTTCTACTCTCCCTTCTTCTCACTTGATGGTCCCAGGAACCGCCGCTCCTGAGCTGCAAGATCAGTCACTCCCCTCCTTTTGTCAAAAAACATCTACATCTACACTTCCGACCCTCATAGCCAGTCCTGATGGCAATTACTCACTATTGTACACACGCCAGCCCAGTCCCAACAGATTGGAAATCATTTAGTGGAGGTTCTACCTACCTCTCCCCCATCTGGAACTAGGCTTCCTCTTGAAAGCTTGTAAGCCAGTCATTACCTAATGGTCTTTCTTCACGAAGTATCTTCTGTTCTTCTAGCCACACCAGGCTGGTCTACTCGTCCTTTCCAGTGGAAATATCCCACCTCAGACAAATCTGGATGGGATTCTGGTTTCCACCTATGGTCTTATGCAAAAGCTCCACAGGAGGTGTCTTTCACTGGGCAATTTCTAGCCACATTTAAGGTATTCCAATCAGTTATAGGCTGAAGACAGATTTATAAGCTTTCTATTGTGATGTTTCTGGCTATTCCATCCCCCGCTCCCCCACCCTCAAGTGTCTATTTCACAATGGTAGGCAAGGGAAA